GGAAATCAAATTCATCAGATATTTTTCAGGTTTTGTCTTCTCACAGTCAAAATAAAGCTGCTGTTTAGCAGATCTAACAAAACATTTGGTTTGGGTCAGTCAGGTACCTCAGTGTCTTCTTGCTATGAAAACATCCCCCCACAACCCTGTGACCCCAAAGCTGAAACATCCTCAGCCCCTTTACAAAGGGACTTTAACAAGATCAAGGTTATAAAGTTTTTGATCAATGAATAAGCTCTTCCAGTTCCCAGAAAGAATGTATGTTAAATTGAACAAAGATAAATGGAAGTATGGAGGGCAAAAAATTATTTAATAAGTTTCATAAAAAGCACCAAATATCATAAGTTCACTAGGAATGATCTGAAATCTCATGGAACATAATCCAGCAGATACTCCCACAATATCACCTGGGATGGTTCTCAGCTCAAAATGCACCTGTGAGCTAAGAGTGTTTGTGTCTGCAGAAACCACCTCAAGGGGAGAGACAGGCAATATTCATGGATATTCACAATTTGAAACTGTGGAAGGGAAACAACTTCTTTGGACTAACATAAATTTGTCTAAAAATTCAGTACAATTCATTGATCCACTAAAATTGATTGATATAGCTTTCAGAAAAATCATAATTGAGGTATTGCATTGTTGGCATATTAGACTGGAGTGTGTTATATTAAAGGTAAAAGCTCTTTTAAAAGAAGACATTCTCCTGTAGTTTGAGAAGAGAAAAAAATAAAACAGGCCACCTTCCTCCAGACCTGCTCTTCACTGAGAGACAGTGGCAGTAAGGCTTCCATTAAGAATATATTATTCTTAATGCAATTTACATTTAATTTTATTTCATTCTTTTACCAGAGCACCCAATGTTGTCTCAATATCAGTGCTCTAATAATGGCTGAAGAAATGGATAGACAGGGAAAAATATAAAAAGCTATAAAATTGCACTAATTGTTCTGTCTGAAGTGAGCATTGTGAGTGAAATGTAACTCTTGCAATTTGAATTTTTTCTTTTAATCTATATTGTTTTTTTCTACATTCTATTATAAACATCCATTTTGGTCTCTTTTTAGAATTGGGTTGGTTTATAGCTATTTTGATTGCTTTTCCATTAGTCACCTTAGTGATGTGGAACAAATACTTCAAGAGACCTAAACTGAGCAAACCTTTCTTTAAGTTTGGTTGGCCCTTAAAAGACACAAACCTGGTTAGAGTTGGGTCTTGTTTGCTTGAACATACATATCAAGTGGAAAGAAAGAGCCACTTCTGGATAAATGGTAAGGACACTCAGTTAAGTCTGTCACTTCTGCCTCAAGTATTTCATCCATCATGAAATGATATTGGCATCACTCTACATAGAATTTGTATGAGTGTTTCTAGATGAAAAATGAAAGCTACAAAGCTGTGCTGAATTCAATTCAGTTTCTGCCTCACTGACTTTTTAACAAATGTTTTTTTCTGTTCTTGACAAACACAGGCAACAACAGCGACTCGATGGAAAGGAAGAGACCTTCTTCCCAAATAAGGTAAGTGCCGGCCAAGCTCTTTCACCTCTTCACCCAGGCATCCATATGGACAGCTCAAGTAGAGGTTTGTATTTTGATATCTCAATTAATTATACCAAACACTCTGGTGTAGCCCCATGTACTTTCTTATCTGTGTTTGGCAGCATGTCATGGAAACAATGAGCAAAATCTGAAACATGAATACAAGAGCAGATAAAATGAAAGAGCACTGAGAAAAGCTTGTCAAACCCCTATCCCCCCAGTGCGGGTAGTGAAAAAAAGCTTTCATGAAATTTTGCTGATTCCTGTGAAATTTGATTTGGGAGGGGTGAAGGATTCAGAAAATATTGAACAGTGATATTTCTAGAAAAAATTGTTTTGATTTTTGGTTCTGAAAAGTCTTTTAGCTACATTTTGAAATGTATCAATAAATGCATAGCCCTGACCATTAGTGTTGAGGTAAGTCTTATCAGGAATTTTCCAGACCATGAATTTTTGAACATCTGTGGAATTAATTGAAAATAATTTTTTAACTTGAAAAGCTTCATAGTTTTGTTTTCTGTGCTGCCATGTAAGGCCAGCTGCCTTTGAAACTGAGCACTGGGCTCTGCCTTCCCAATTTGATCATCAAAAAGATCCACAGGAGAACTAGGATTCACATGCAGACTGTGATGATTTAATTGTGCATTCACTGCATAGCTATCAACCTGGTTCTGCAGGGTTTGAAGGAAAGGCACAGAGCAGAAGGCTTACAGGTGCAGAGGTTTTCTTGAACTTAAGTGCATGGAAAGAGACATTCTGTATCTGGTTTTAAGGGGAAAAAAATGAGAAAAATTGTACAGACTTCCTCAGGGTTGAAAGGCAGGACTTGAATGCAAACTGAATTGTAATAGACTGAGCTGCAAGGAAGCTGTCCTGGTAACACTGGAGAAATATTCCTGTGGACATACAAGGATGATAGCTGTCCTCTTGAGCCAGAAAAGTCAAAAGATACTTCCATCATGAGGCAGCATTTTATTTCACAGTTGGCAGAGTTCAATACCTCTTTTGAGAAATTTTGGAGCCCTAAGCAGAGGAATTTCCCTCTTGGTTCAGCTTTGGTGTGTGGCTCTTCTGACAGCACCTTCTCCAGAAGATCCAAGGTCCACTCCAGCAGCGAACACTCAGGCTCTGCTCCCACAAAGATCTTACCCTAATGTCTTAAAACCCAACACCCTGGTTATTTAAAATAAATGGGTGAATAGAATATGAGCTCTGCCAAACATCTTTGTTTCCCCTAGGCCACATGGCAGCACGTGTCCCCAGCTGGGGGTACAGACAGCTGTGGGGTGCAGGACAGGCAGTAACATCATAGTGGAGTGTTTTACGTGTTTCATTTAGCATGCTGCAATTTTCAAAGCACATCTGCACTCTTCCTACAATGGCAATATATTCTTCTCAGCTATAGAGCTTTTAAAAGATCTCTGTCTCATAAAAAACAACTGATCTGCAGAAAATAACCATCCAGAGTGAGAGTGGGGGCCAAGGGTAGCAGGCACAGGGTCAAGAAGGGACTGATTTCCTGGAGATGTTTAGAAAGTAGATACCATTTTGTAAGCCAAAGGGGTCAAGCTGCAGCAGAGAACCTAACATGAGCAGGTACTGCACATGCTTTTTCCTGCAGTCATTCAGACCATGACCATGACCATGACACCCCAGCTCAAGCCATTCCAGCCCTCACCTGCCCCCCAGGAGTCATCCAATGCTCTGCTCCCACACTGTGTAACCAGGGAGTCAAAGCTCTCTTACACTTGCTGCCTAATCAGGAGTTTGAGCTGAGGTTTCAAAAAATGGAATACTAATGATTAACAATTGATTAGTACAACTGTATCTATCTCAGGTGATTACCTGGAGAAGTGGTTGTAATTTACACTTTTGGATTGCCTACAGAGACACCTGCATTTACCTTGTATTGTTTTGGTTGGTGGGGTGTTGGGGTTTTTTCCTACATGACATTAACGTGAGTATTTCTACAGGCATTTTCATTTCTGAAGGGAAGCAAATTGTGCTTTGCATTTTAATTTACCATGACAACTGATTTTTTCCTTCGAAAACATTTCTTAGGAACATAAGAAATTCCTACTTTCACTTGCCATCTTGCGAACGGCTCGTCACCGGCCACGAAGTTCACAGCCTCTGTAATGTTCAGGAGTGGGATCTGGCAGTCCACTGCCTCAGAGCTGAGAAAATCTGCTTTTGTGCTTTCTTGTTCTCTTGATATCCATTCCCCATCGAGATGCTATAGTAAAACAGAAGGAGAGTGCAGGAACTGAAGGCTCATATAATGAAATTCCAGTTGTCAACGTATGTTTCTCTGTCTAATTAATAATATAAGGCATTCCCAGATGGTTTATTTAAAAGAAATGATGCTGTTACTATAGCCACAATAAAGGGGAAGCCGTGTGTATCTATGCATGCAGGTGGTCTATTGATTTAGGAAGTGCTGTGGTCTGCACTTGGGATGAGCAGCTGGGATGAGACAAGGTAAAATAATGGAGCAGCTTTGTGTTTGCTCCAGGAGCTCAGCAGCCAGCTTGTTCCTCCTTGAAGGTGATGTCAGCTACTGCTCTAGATTAGCTGCACAAGACATCACGACCTGCTAAGTGCCTACAGAGCCCTAAGCAGGCATGGTAGGCAAATCTTAGCTGTGCCTCATGAGCAGGCTAGGAGTGACTGGGAATCAGGCCGAATGGCTGTTCCCAGGTGGATTTATGAGTTTAATCAAACACTTCATATCTGAGTATGCTGATCCACCAAATAACTCAGTCCTAACGTTGCCTGTGTAGAGTTGTTTATGACAAAATTATAGTGTTATCATAAAAGATGGGTTTAATACACATTAAAACTTCTGAGTTTGTATTGAACTATGACTAAGAAAATTCAAATAAGAGCCTCTGTAACTATGTTGAAGAAACCTTATATTCAACCACAAAAACTTAGCATTTAAATGTGTTTAGGAAAACAACCAAGCGTACTGATTCCAGATGTACTAAATGAGAAATAATTTTGTGATTTCAGGCTTCAATGGACTACAGTGCAGCTGAACCAAATGAGTTAAACAAAACCCCACAGAGAAAATTAGCAAGAAGTCATAGCTATACATTTCCAAGGAACCTCTCCTGGAATGGGATGATCCTCTTCAGCTCCCCTCGCTCGTAGCAAACACACTGACGATGGGGTTTGAAGGTATTTGTACCCTGCTGTAGCTGTGAGAGATGATAGCACTTGGCATGGTTCAGGGTAAAAGAATTCTATACAAACAGGCCAAAGTTTGGCTGTATCATCAATATTTTATGAGCTGACAGGAAGCTGCTTACAATTAACCTGGTGACCTGGCAGTGCAGGTTGGGTGACTCTTTGAAGCCGAGGCCGAAGACTTGGATCCTGGTGCAGTCAGAGGCACGAACATCACAGAGGCCTCCGTTCTCTAAGCCTGTGATTTCCAAAGCTTGCTCTGAAAGGGTGACATAGATACAAAGCTTTAGAGAGAAGCACTTACATGCTGTTCTGTTCTGCTTTATCAGAGATTTTTTTGTTGTTACTAGTTGCTTTGGTTTAATACTTTTCCTTAGGGTCTTCCTTGCCTCCCAGTGGATTTCTCTGGCATAAAGGAATGGCAGTTGACAAAAGGGGAAGCAGCAAACCTCCATTAAATATTGTCCTACGCACACAGCATTACAAGATGTATTAGTGAGCATCACATGGCTCATGGAATCAATTAACTGAAGCTGTGGCTTCATGCTAAAAGGTCTCTAGGGGTAACACTGCTGCTGACCCAGGTAAGAGGATGGGAGCACAGCTGAGAGGACAGGGCCTCCTGCCATAGCATAGAGAAGCATGGGAATGAGAAGTGGGAATATCTGAAGATGACCATCAGGCTCCTCATAATGTGAAACAGCAGTATAAAAGGCAGTCCTGTAGTTGTTTGGGTTTTTTTTCCCCAAAAGCTATGTCATAATGGGATCCTCAAAAAAAACTTGCTTGCAAGGGTTAAATCACTAGTGAGTGACATTCAGCTCTGCATCATGTCAGCACAAATGGCATGTACCAGCTAAGTTTTATTTAAATCCTACTTTGAGGGCTTGAGCAGGGCTTAAATGATGTACAGCCTGTGCTGCCCCCTTACAAGGCTGGCTTTCACTTATTACTGTTTTTAAAACATTTTATGATTCTCAGGTATAGTTTCATTTTGGTTCTGTTGTACTTTAGGTATTCACCATTTAAATTCACTCATTGCTTTCATATTGGGGTTATTTTTACAGAGGAAAAATGCAAGTCCATTGGATGGCAGAATTCACACCTTTAATTTAGAGAAAGTAAAATTGGACAGATATTTGCATCAGCTCTTGGGTAGCACAACACCCAGAAGGTGTCCAGTATCTTATGTTAATGATAGCAACCAGTCAGGATCACATTTTCTTATTTTTATTGCTAATATTTGTATTCTAATGGTCAGGAGAAGCCACTATGGTGACAAATAACACAGAGCAGAAAATTTGCTTCTTTTTTCCTGAACAACACTTAATAGCAGGGACATGACGAGGAGCAGAGTGTAGTCCAAGTTGTTATCCCTGCTACAATGCAGGGATAGGCTGCTTAACTTCTTCTTCCCTGCCCCATCACCACTGCTCTGGCAAAGCAATATTGCCCATCAGTTTTCTCTGAGCTGTAGCTTAGCTAAAATAGCAGCTCTGTGTCGCCTAATATTTTAATGGTACATTAGTTCAGCTCTGATTTGAGGGGCACAATGCCCTGAGCTGAGTTGTTAACCTTCCCCAGTACCTCACTGTTCCTTTAGGGCTCTGCCATTTGGGCTGTAACTAGGAAGGATATGGGTGAAACAGTGCAATCTCACCAGATTGCAGCCTGTAACAACAGAGCTGCATGGCTCATGTTTTTCCAGAGAAAGGAAGGAAGACAGCAACATAAACATTAAAAATAATGAAAAGACTTTTTTTCCCCCTGTACTTCTGAAATGCTTTTAGCTTTTCTTTCCTTGTATTTTTTTTTAAAACTGATTTTATTGCAGCAGTATTAGCAACACTGCTGGACACTTTGCAATATTTACCAGAAGAGAAATCGTTTACAGCTTATCAGCTTTCATCAGTTAGTAGTGGATTCCTTTAATGTACAAAACTATTAGTCAGATGTGGTGACTGGTTTTGATAAATTGCCTTCTTCTGTGGTTAGTGCATGAAATTTTTTGTAAAAAAATGCTTCATTATCTTTTTCATGAGATTTTAATAGTTAGCCCCACTAGTCCTGAGGTAGCTCGGGTTGCATTAATGTTTTCATTATCACTGCAGATTTTCAGGCTTCTGTGGGTGAAGTAGAATGTGAGAGCCTGGGAAGGAGTGAGGCACAGGAGTGTGCTCCTGCAGCCCTTCCTGTTCCAGGAAGGCACTCTCAGGTCAGTTGCTTGTTGATGAGACCTGTGCAGTTCCCCAAGGATTTCCTTACATCTTTGTGAGCACATTGTTGGGTCAGGGTCAGGGCAAGATTACCCAACCTCAGTGCTTTTTCCAATGACTTATAGTATCAGCACAGCATTTTGTATTTATTTCTCTCAAAGCATTCTATACACACTTGTCAGAGTTTAACCCCAGCCAGAAATTAAGCATCACACAGCCACTCACTCACTGCCCCTCCAAGCAGGACTGGGGAGAAAATCTAAAGGGTAAGAGTGAGAAAATGTGTGAGTTGAGATAAAGACAGTTGAATGGGATAGAGAAGGAAGAAAGCAATAATCATTAAAATAGTCATGATAAAATATTAGAATACATAAGTGATGTGCAATGCACTCACCACCAGACACCCAGCCAGTACCTGAGCAGCAGCCCCTGGCCAACTCTCCCCACAGTTTATAGGTGACAGTAACACTATATGGTATGGAACATCCCTTTGTTCAGTAGGGGTCAGCTGTCCTGGCTGTGTCCCCTCCCAGCTCCTTGTGTATCCCCAGACTACTCAATGGCAGGGCACAAGAAGCTGAAAAGTCCTTGACTTCATATAAATATTATTTAGCAATAACTAGAAACATCAGTGTGTTATCAACATGAAGTCTGATGGAAAATGAAAGTCATGAAAATGTCTCCTTTTTAAAGAAATGGATACTAGAGTTCATGCTTTAGACCCCAGTATAGGCAGTACATAAATATCGACACTGGTTGTTATTTTTATGTTTTCTTAAAATGAGATATCATGAAAAGGGTATAGGAATTTTAGGCCTTTGTTTTTAATGTGGTTTTCTGTCTGTCTTCTACTGTTGTTGTATATTACCCAGTTTCAACCAAACATGGAAGGTGAAATCTCCATGACATTAGCTTTGGAAAAGTCTCATGACAGTTGGTGGTTGGGAACTCAAACATGCAGCTCCTGCTCTTGCTGGGGGTAATGGAATCAAAGTTTGGTTGTTCATCACTCCCTGTTTTAGTGCACAGGTAGTTAAGAAGCCTATGCACAGCATATGCTCATGGGTGGAGACATCAGAGGGAATATATTGGAGAGCCTGAAAAACCTTAGCAAAGGAGCTGCGAGTACTTCAGGGGAGACTGGAGGGGAGAAAGACGGGTGCAAAGAGAAGAGCTGGGAAATATCACAAAGGTGAGAGTGAGGGCAAAAGTGCAGATACCCAGAGAGAGCTGAGGTCATGGAGAGCTGGGATGGATGTCTGAGGAGGGGCAAGTTAGAGGCAGGAGAGAAGTCTGCAGGAAATCTGATGATGCATAGAAAAAGCTTGTGATAAATATGATCCATTTGAACATTAATAATTTATGTTTAGGAGTGTGAATGCCAAAATACAACAAAATCCAGGACAGAACATCTTCTTTCTTTTTTTCTGTCTGGCCTATAGGCCAAAAATATGCTTTGACTTTTACTAGCAGACTAAAAACTGAAGCTGAAGATAGCAGTTGGGTCTCAGATGGGTGACAGGGTGCAGTCAAGTTATGGGGTAGGATTTAAGGAGCTGTGTTCACATCTGGTGTGTCAGGTATGGGTATCCTGCTGCATTTCTAATCCTGGTCTGCACACACAGCAAACAAACACCTCTGAAATGAATCTGTCACCTGATAGCGCATCACACTGGGACATTGATGAATAACAGGAAATGTTGAGGAAAAAAAAGTAAAAAATACTTGTTTTTTAATGAAATCACTAATGTATTGAGCGAGATGTTGAGGAAAAAAAAGTAAAAAATTCTTGGTTTTTAATGAAATCACTAATGTATTGAGATAAAAACGGGGGAGGACTCTGGAGTTGAAGGTAGAAATCTCAAGGGCCTCCAGAGCCCAGTCAGTTGGACAGAGGAGAGAGGACTCTGGAGTTGAAGGTAAAAATCTCAAGTGCCTCCAGAGCCCAGTCAGTTGGACAGAAATAAGGGCTATGTCCTGTTTGGTTTGTAATGCTTATGTTGTGCCTTGCTCAAGAGACAGGGACCCTTCCCCTCCTTCTGCTCTCCTCCCAGTAGGAATTTTCAGTAAAGAACAGTAAATTCAGAGCTGCTGACAGTGCAGTTTCCACAGTTTCATTCTGTAATCATTTGCATGAATCAAACCTGACAAGGAGCAGAGGCTACATAATAGACTGAACCCCCCAGACAAATACATGGTTGGTTTTATAGGTATTTGTTGCAGTGAATTATGTAAATAATATGTACAGGTGTAGAAGTAAAAGGGAGTGAGTCAACACAAAATCAAGAATCTTGCAAAACTACACTTATTGAAGTCTTACTGGTGGATAGATATGATTCATGTTGGATTTACACTTTTGATTAGAAAAGTATCCTAACACAAATAAACATTCTTCTGCAGTGTTTGAAAGCTACACATGCAGCTTTGGGCTGGAGCAGCAGACCTGAAAATAAAATGGGCAAGAACTTTGTTTGAATAAAGAGAAGAAAATGGGCTGCCCTGCTTTTCTTGATGAGGATGATAAATAAGCAATCTAAGTCATGAAAAGCAAATCAAGAACCAGATCATAAGTGCTGGGTTTCATCAAAGCTTTGCTGAAGTGCAACAGGAAATTGCTCATATTGTCCAGTTGCCTTATCCTTGAAATCATGCAGCTGATTGAACAAGCTGCCATGCCAGAGCTTTCTGGTGTGGATGTGGGCACCCAGCTACTGTAGCTGTGAGGGTTCTGCATCTGAGCAGACTGATGCTTAGTTATCTCACAGCTTAGGCAGAGCAAGTCTGAATCTGCCTCCATTCAAATGCTTGCACAAATACTGTGTTTGTTTCTTTTGTTTGTAGTGTCATCACAGCAATCATAGGCACAATCACTGAATGCATTACTCTGGAACTCTTGCTATCCATAACCCAAATCTCATTTGATAATCCTCCCTAAGCAAAAAGTATCAGCAGCCATATGCTGTTTGCCAGGAGCTTTGTGCATCAGTGACTTCTAAAGGGAGACTGTGTTAGTTCCTGCTTCCAAAACCAGTTCCCAAAGGAC